TTGGCTATAATGTAATTATCTTAATCTTCACTATCGTTACTTTATGCCCACAAATAAAAACCCAGCGAAGCGGCTCCTTGCAGCTAGTATAAAATATAATTTTATCTTATTAGCAAATTTATAACACCAGAGGGCGCATAATATGGAGATGAGAGCATACCGTTGAAACTAGTGAATAGGACAATAGGGTTTTTACCTGTTTTCATTTTTTTTAAATTTTTTTTTAGTACTTAACAGTATTAAATAAATTAAATATAAACGAATGGCTGTTTAACCAAGCACTTACTCTCAAGAAAACTTATTAAAAGTGAGTATGAGAAATGTTAACTGATGAATGTGTGAAAGTCAAAGTTTTCTGTTTATTTTTGCAGTAATTATTGTTAAATGCGCTCTCTGAACATAATTTTTTCTATATTAATTGCACAATGCATAGCTCTAAACGTTGCACAATTTGTCGTAGGATATTTGAGCCACTTTTTACTAAAATTCTAATTCAGAATATAATAATAATTTAGTTTGAAAAAATATTAAAAAAATCAATTTTCTTTCTCAATATTTCAAATTGAATTAATTTATTATTATTATTATTAACCTTGTAATATAAATAATAATATAATTTATGGTATACCTAATTTATAATTACTATTAATATTTACATTTTAAATAAATATAATGTATGTCTTGTGCAATTTGAACTAATACTCTTTAATATGACAAATACATCCTTTGAACTGAATTAAATTGATCAATAATGTATCATTAGGCCTGTAATGGTAATTATATGCAGATTTTGGAAGAGATTAAATTAATTAGAAGTTGAACATTTATTACATTAAATTATGAAGCAAAAATAATTAGTTGAAATCATAGATGCCAAATGAATTTACTTTTAGCATGTTTATAATGGAATCAGAATCAAATGCTTTGACTTTGTTTATTGTTAAATATGTTTAGTTTTGAAAGAAAATGAATGGTGCTTTTCAGTTAAGAGNATTAAAAAGCTAGTGAAAAAACTTAAAAAGAACAGCCAAAATACTAATATTTTTACCCCCACTCCTCTCTTTAACCAAAATAGCTATTTTACCAAGAAGTATAATAAACTAGTTCAACATTGTGGTATCCCAACGATGGATCTAATAAATAATTGGAAAAACAAATTGGTTATTAATCTGTCTGATGTACAAATCCCCAATAGAATTAAAGCTTTATTAGCTAAAGGTTTAGATTTTAATTTCCAAACATATTTACCTAAAAGCAAAATTGCCATTGAGTTAGAGTATATTCTCAACAGTTTAGACATTGTCAACCATATTGAAATTAAAAATAAAGTCCAAAATATTGTTAAAAATCACAATCTTAGTAAAAACCATAAAAGATCCTTATGGACACATAATAATAATAATAATAATAATAAAGGTTTAAAAAAATTAATTAAGAATAATAATTTAGTCAACTTACAGGCTGACAAATCTAGGCAGAGTATTGTCATGAACTATCAGGGTTATATTAAGGTAGCCCAGGATCTTTTAGATAACAACTTGTATGAGGAACTGTCCCATGGTCCGACACTTAAAATTAAAAAAGAATTGATTGTTAGTCTAAAAAAACTATTAACTATCAAAATTATTGATAAAGATGATTATAAGTTTATCACTAGTTATGGTCACCGCACCCCCAAGTTTAACATAAGGATCAAAACCCATAAAACACCCATTGCTTATAGACCTCTTGTTGATATTAAATTTTATTGTTTATATAACTTAGAATTATTTGTCAAATCCAAACTAAAATCCCTAGTAATGTCTAAACACTGCATTAAAAGCACTGATGAATTTCTTAATAACCTAAAGGAAGTCAAAATGGAAAACAGGTTTAGAATATTGTCTTTGGACATCAAGAATATGTACACCAGTATCATCCAAGATAGAATTGTTAACTCCCTCAGGTCTATAAATTGTGCAGATTGGCTCATTGATCTTGTCATCCTTATCTTATTGAACAACCATTTCCAATTTAATGGTAAATACTATATTCAAAAATCTGGCATACCTATGGGGTCTATTATTGGCCCTATTTTAGCTGAACTAAGTGTTATCGATATCGATACATCCATTAATAATACAGTAGAGCCTCGATTATCTGACTCAATTGGGGACTGGGGTTGGTCAGATAATTGAAAAGTCGGATATCCGAAAAGTATGAAAAAATCCATTATTAGTGTAGTATATTATTATATCCCATGTAATTAGTATATTAGTATATCGCTATTAACCTACTTTGCGTTGAATTTTCATCGATGTTAAGCCTAACAAAAATTTTTTAAAATAATAATCGTCGCTATTGTATCGTTAAAAATTAGAAAATTAAGCCTNGACCAGAAAACATCAATGCTTGATTGTGATAGATGGCTACAAATAAATTGCAACAGTAGTGATGAGTTCTCACTCACACTTATTGATCTATTGCCTAATTTTTCTCTTTCATTTTACTCCTCTCTCATTGAACTGTAAAAAGTTAGCAGTCTTACACAAATGAAGATTTGCAATAAATTGCCTAAACAAATATTACTCATACAAATACAATTTTAACTATAAATATTTTAGGAAGTGGTTCTGCTAAATCAGTACAAACTAGGTGAATCCAACTACAGTAGAGCCTCGATTATCCGCCCTAATTGGGGACTGGGGTTGGTCAGATAATTGAAAAGTCAGATATCCGAAAAGTATGAAAAAATCCATTATTAGTGTAGTATATTATTATATCCCATGTAATTAGTATATTAGTATATCGCTTTTAACCTACTTCGCGTTAAATTTTCATCGATGTTAAGCGTAACAAAAATTTTTTTAAATAATAATCGTCGCTATTGTATCGTTAAAAATTAGAAAATTAAGCCACGTTTAAACACTGGCTCCCTTTCATGGTTGAATGAGTTTTGCCAGCTAAAACACGTAAAAATAATATTAAAATAGCCAAGACATAGCCAAATATTCTAGCGCCACATCACTAGCGGACATTTGAAATTTGCGTCAAGGACGGTCGGTTAACCGAGGTGTCGGTCAATCGGGGGTCGGATAATCGAGGCTCTACTGTACATTCTTACCATATCCTTCCTCTTTAGGATCTACTTCACCACAAACTGCGTGAACAAACATATTACACGATTTACACTTGTGAGCACTTGATGCTGATGCTGCTTTTGAGCAAACAATACAGACTATGTCTTGTATAGTGCTGTTTACAGGCTTCTCATATAACTACCTCGTAGTCTTGCCCCTGCCCCGCCAAATGGCATTACAGGGAGAAAGGGACGATAACTTAATCATTGGCTGGTCCGTAGCCCAGAAGTCACCAGGCGCCGTGACAAATAAGTCGGCCCGGGGATATTGCTAGGGCTCTGGCTCTAGCTCTGGCTCGAGTCTAGGCAGTCTAGAGAGTGCCGACCTTCATTGCTTTCATTGCTTTCCTCGCCTTCCTCGCCTTCATTGCTTCCCGGGTCCGGCCTCAAACAGACATGCAAGGTGTACAGTATGTCTGTACAAGAAAGTGCTCAACAGAAGTGCGAAGCACAAACGAACTGGCGGTGGGGGCCTCTCACTAGGGAGGGTCCCTATTGATCAATTAGATCAGTAACGATAACCATCAATTCCTTTAGTCTCTTTTTGTTCCCTTCACTAGCTGCAAGCGTTCGAAGCACTTGTTCAGGGGGCTTATTCCAATTGACTTGGTCAGCCCCTAGGAGGAAGTCCTCTGTGAGAGGACAGTCAAGCACATAGTGTCTCGCGTCACCGCGAGGACACCCACAGGGGCAGCGACCATCTCCTTGTCCAAACTTGGACTTGAAGTGGGGGAACCTCCCGTGTCCGGTCAAGATTTGCGTCAATCTGAAATCACAACTCACTGGAATCCGGCCGACATTAGGCACGAAAGCTTGGGTCAACCTACCCACCGTACTTTGATTCCAGCGCTCCTGCCAATGTATCATCGATCTCCGTAACAATATACCTTTTATGTCGAGGGTTCTACCTTCCTCGTCACAAATGGGCCACTGGCTCCCGCCTTTGCCAGTTGATCAGCACGTTCGTTGCCCGGGATCCCGATGTGGCTTCGGACCCAACGCAGGGCAACGTGCCGCTTATGCGTTGCCCTCAGCACCTTACTTCTGACTTCATGTACCAACGGGTCGCGATGGTACCTGTCGCTCAAAGCCTGAAGCGACGATTGGCTGTCGGAGTAAACTGTGACCGGCTCTGGACCCGGATGTAATAGGATCCACTGGGACGCCCCCGCCAGGGCCACCAGTTCTGCCTGGAACACAGACGCCTCCTCATTCAGTCTGTCTGACTGACTGTACGCATGGACTCCGTCATAGTAGACACAGAACGCGGCACCGACCAAGCTACCGTCTTTAGAGCCGTCGGTATATATTTCAATACCAACGTTTGCCGGTTCACTGGCATCCCAATCCAGTCCAATCCTATAGGCTGAATGGACTCCTAAAACGTCTGTCTGACATCTCAGTCTGATCGGGTACATCTGATCACAATGCTTAGCCTCGATGCCCTCCACCGTCGTCCGGTAGAAGGCTGCCTCTTGGCTGACTACCATTGTTGCCGTTCCTAGTACATTTGTACTTTTCTGGTACATTTTGCCCTTTCCAGTAAATTGAAAGTACATTTAGATTTTTAGTACATTTTCAGTACATTATAATATTTCAAGTACCATTTACGGTACAAAATAATATTTCACGCCTTAACGAAAAAATGAGAAAAATTAGTTTAATAAAGTGTCACTAGTGTCACTGCTTGCTATTCTAAATTATCCAATCACAACATACAAATGGTGTGTGTCCATCGACGTCAGCAACATAGATAGTTGCACGTGTAAACGGTCTTGACTCAGTGGTCTTCTTTCACACGTTCAGTTGTCTGCACATTCTCATCAGGACCTTGACAAAATTTTTCATGCCACGTGGTCCAAACAATTCAACTCCGTCAAACAAAAATAATGGACAGGTAAGGAAATCAATGATTTTAAACTTTTGTCGTCAATAATATCAAAATATCCGTTAAGTCAGAAACAAATTATTACAGAAAATAGTTTTGAAATTGTACGAGTATAAATAATATAAATACTTTTATATTATTTTCTACCACTATAATTTAATTCTTAAATTATGAACTTCAATTTTAGTAATCGTAGTAAAAGAAATAAGGGTTAATGTTACGTATGGTTCCAAAATGGCCGCGCTTCCGACTGTTCCAAGGTCTATATAAGAAGGTCAGGACACGCGTGATCTACTTCTTGAGCTGCCATTTTGGGGTTTTTTGAGTTGCATGTTTTAAGCAAACTTGTACGAGCAGTCAGTTTTATATGACATTAATTAAACTAAAATTGCATAAATCCTGTAATTTCCAGTCAAAAATATAATAATAATTTCGGATGATTATGCAACCCCAATTTTATGTAACGTTTTCATCAAATAGTTTAAAAGAAACAAGCATCCTTATCTTTTGCTGTCATGATTGAAATTAATTAAATAGGTACTAAAACTGATGCAATTACGTATATACCACTTCGTAAAGTGATGCAATAACATCAAAAAAATTTAAAGTATAATAAAGAATAAAATAATATAATATAACAAATTTATAATTATTTTTTTAAAGCACGATTGGTTATAAAATTAAGATGAAATTCAATAGTATTATTAATAAATGTTGTCATTGTAATGCTCATTTTATAATAAATAATAGATGTGTAGATAAATAGCTTTCAAAAAAAATTCCAAAAATAAGATTTAAAATTAAATTATTTGACAATAAACTATATATACTTAAGTGCCTATATATATATAGGTACGTAAACAAAGTATTCATAGAACTAGTACATTTTGACGGAAAATAGTACATTTTTTGAAGGCGCTTCAGTACGTTTTAAAATTTCATTGCGGCAACACTGCTGACTATCAGAGGAAGCGGGAGGAGCCCGGCCAAGACCAGGGCCGCCTCCGTTGACACAGTTCTGTAAGCCCTTGTAATTCGCAAGGCTGCGGGTCGCTGTATCGTGAGAAGTGTTCTGCTCTGCTTCACGTTGGCAGAGTCCTTGTACCAGATACCACAGGCATAGCAGATAACGCGCTCAACACTCATCTTATAGATGGTGCGAAGCGCCTCCCCACTAAGCCCGTAGTTCTCCCTAGCCAATCTCGATAGTGCCGCTATCGCGAGGTTTGTTCTGTCTCGAACATTCCTCAGATGGGGCGTCCAACATAGCGTCTGGTCGATGATTACACCGATGTACTTTAACTCATTCACCCTTCGGATGGGGTTTCCCCTAATTCGGTATATTGGCCGGCGTGCCAAAACTCCAATTCGGGCCACCGTCAGGGCCTCTGATTTCTCAGGGCTGAAGGAGAGCTTATGTATCTCCCCCCAGCGAACGAGCTGTTCTATTGCTTCGTTGCCGCGACGCTCCATGTCGCTCCGGCTGTAGCCTGCAACTACTAGCAACAGATCGTCTGCATAAGCCCACAGCTGGAGGCTCCGTACGAAACTGTGATGGCCATTCTGCTGAAGTTGAGAGTAACTCAGTGATGACTTCTTCAGCTTGCAGAGGTGATTCTTGGAGGTGCAGGGTAACTGAATATTCTTCGTGACTGTATCATCAATCAACGGTATAGAAGGCAGTTTAAAATTATTATTTATAAATTCTTGTATTTATATAGGTGATTCTGTAGAAGCAGGGGATAACGGAATGTCCTCTTGAATAAGATTTGACTGTGATCTCATAATCACAGTCTCTTGTGAATCTTCTAATTTTTCCACTCTTCCAGTCTTCTTCTATTATACCACAAAGTGTATTACATTCGATAAAAACTGAAGAAGACCTTGAAAAATTAGAAAATTGATGCAAAAACTGATGCACGAAATTTTAGCTGTGGTTCTTAGTAAAACAGAGGATGGCTTTTATAAACTTGATACTAAAACAGGTATTTTAAAACAATTGTATGCAAAATCTGAATTCAGTGTTTGCAAAGAGAGATTTTTAACGAAAGAAGATGGATGTCCCTGCTGTAGAAATATCTTTACGTC